GGCAATAGTGAAGCGTTTACATTATTATTTCACTGAATACAGATACTGTAAAAATGCTACAGATAATTTTCTTCTGTGCCGATAATTTTCTTCTAAACAATTATGGGCTTTTAAGAAAGCTTAAATGCAGTGAATGAGTGATCTGGATCGGACAAAGGTGGTAATGCTACAAAAAAGCACAGGGTTGTTTAAGGGAAAAGGTGAGTGTATCAGTACATGCATGCTGAGGTTGGGGTGACTCACAGCACATCAAATGCTTTCTCAAAAGCATTGATCAGTGCTGTCAGGGGAGGGAGCATCGGGGAAAGGGAAATAATTATGTGGAGTTTTAAGCATGAGAACAAAAACATCTAAATTTGATTCAAGAAGGAGCTAATGGAAAGACCAGCCTGCAGCTCTGTTTGGAAGTCAGGTGCTGTTACAGAGAATGCAGGCTAATTCATGCTGCATGTTTCCAGCATGCTTCTGCCTGCACAAAGGCTAAGCCCTGACCCTGGGTACCTGTTCCCAGAGAGGCCCTGAGGAGCAGTGAGCCACAGACCCTCAGCTTTGCAGAACCATGGAGCTATAGCTGTAGGAGGGCATCAAAAGTCTCAACAATAGGTGCTAATATGGGTGCATTCCTAGGACACTAGGGATCCTGACACGTAAGATTTCCTAACTCCCTCCCTCATGCTGTCTGTTTAATGGGTAGTTAGTTAGCTGCTCCACTACAGTGGTTCAAGCTAAAGTCACCCAAACTTTGTCCCTTCCACTTCTGAATTATTTTCTGCATAACTTCAGGGTCACAGTGTTTTGTGGGCATTTGCTCTGCATGTGAAATTGCTTTATTATATATTTTCCTTATTCTTGTTGTGTCCTGGATTCCACTTGGCTGGACCATCATTACATTAGCCTGCCAATGACATTTGTGCCAGACCCCTCTTGGTTAGTCTCTGAGCATTTCTCTCTTACGAGCCCTGTGACCCAGTGGATTATCATGTGTTCCTAGAATCTACCATGATGTTAATTTGGAGCTACTGCTTTCCTGATTCTGGCTTTACACAGTTCCTTGGTAGTATCTGTTTATAGTATCAATCCTCTGAATGAGATCTGCTTTCCCTTCCAGTGAGAACTAGATCTTCTGTCTAAATAGTCACCAGCCACTTGGTCTGCAGGACAGGGATCTGTTGGTTTCATATCAGCTATACTGTAATGTTGCGTAGATGTAGAGCATTAAACTGTTCCAGTGCGGGCACTTGATATAACTCTTCCAAGGAATATTGAGGGATTACTTCCCCTGTTGTTGGAGGTCTTCTCAGGACTGTGCTGCTGTCTTGGTACCATAACTTCTCAATGTTTTGAACTCCTTTTTTACTTTTTGCTTCTGAATCAGTTACTTGTAATGGCTAATAGCTCCCACAGTCTGTTCCATGTGTTCAGTACTGAGTCCTCCCCTTGCAGAGCTCTGCAATCCAAAGCCCTGAAATCTGCTCCTGGGATCTCCCAAGTCTTGTTTACCCCACTTTGCTCAGATTGTCCAGTGGATTAAGAACACTTCCTTCTGCTTTAAATCTTTCACAGATAGTGTTCTGAAAAGTTGAATAAGATACTTTTTGTAAAGGAGTTTTTCATTAGAATAACTTTACTCATAAGAAGGCACTGGAAAGCTAATGAGCCCTGTAGATAGCAAGGGTGTTAAAATGTAGCCTTCTTCAGTCTGGCTTGCTCCTTCTGTGGAGCCAAGATCTGTAGTCCCCAGGGGACCTCTGCCGCTCCTCCTCCTTGTTCTGCTGCCAGGCAGTGACTCAAGAGCTCTGCTGATGTAGTTGCAGTAATTTAAATGTTCGTATCCCAGCTCTTTTCCTCACCTCTGCCTCTCCACCCTGCAGCACAAATGCATGTGGTGCCGGCTCCTGCAGGTTGCTCTCTGGTGTATTAGCAAAAAACCTTGGAGAGAGACAGTATCTTCTAGCTGCTAAAGTCTCTGGAACAGAAGTCGAGCTATGTATCAATAGCATCTCCCATTCCCACTGTTTTTTTTCTTGCATTGAACTTCAGTCTTTTTCTGCTCTAGTTCTGTGTATGAAACACATTGTTTCAGAGGTCAGTGAGTTAGAGAGAATGTAAAGTGCTTAATGGCTTTTCCCTGATGGCCTTTTAGCAAGGTGCCAAACACCATTCCTACATAGGACATCACTCTGAAATACAGCATAGCAACATGGCCTTAGGCACCATCAGAACTGTTCAGTACATGATGCTTTATCCCACCCTAACACACTGTGTTTTAAATTGAATGGAAGGATAGGATAAGGGTGTCATTAAAGCAGAAGTTGCAGTAGTTAGGAGATGACTTACAGTAGTGCTCAGCATCCTAATTAGAGTCCATCTGAACAGACAAGAGCCTTCACATAAAAGTAGGAAACAGCAGAACTATTTGAATGTGAGACTAAATGAGAGAGAGGAGAAAAAGATAACCTTCAGACTTTCAGACAACTTAGGACTTTCTAAACACACACAACACTGTCTTGAGCCTGCATGTACCTGATAGCAATGTTTGAATGTCAGATAGGTAAACTTGTGGAGAATTATTTATAAATATCAATATTTCACATGTTGGCTCTGATTGAAAATATAGCATAAGTATAAAGGAACACTAGCTCTGGTACAATTCTTTATGTTTTACAAAACTTTATGTTTTAAAGGCCTACTCTTATGAATTCCTTAAAGTCTATAAAGTTACTTGAATTTTCTTGAAACTTTTTTTAAATTTGTGGATTGATGAGGATGTGACTGGTCAACTAATGCCAGTTCAACAAGTCCCGTAAATGAAAACTACTTCTAAAAAATTGATAAATTAGCATTTTTTTCACCTTTCTGGGGGCTTAATCACGTCCTATCTGGTTGCTGTCATTCAATATCAGTTTTAGCTAGTGCGTAACACTATTGAAAGAATTACTTGAAGAGAAGAGTATGAATTGAAACATGCACACACAACAAGAGGAGGGAACGAGGGTTTTGCAG